TATTATCAACTTACAATAACAATTACGACATATCATTCGACCCTTTGGAAGATTTAATGTGAAATGTATGGAAAGACATAGCAAGCTGAAAAAGGCACTTCCAGATAATTCGCCCCCCAGCTCATTCTCTTTAGAGTTGCACCACAGGAGCGGCGCGATCTCTCCTCTGTATTCTGTGGCCCCGTATGCTAATGAGCTATTATGCTAATAGCTTATTAGGTATGCTAATGAGCTCCTTCCCCCAGCTCCCCGCCCCCCAGCTCATTCTCTTTAGAGTTGCACCACAGGAGCGGCGCGATCTCTCCTCTGTATTCTGTGGCCCCGTATGCTAATGAGCTATTATGCTAATAGCTTATTAGGTATGCTAATGAGCTCCTGCAGCTCTTTTTCTATGAAATGACCCCTGGTTATAGTTATATATTGAATAGCTGTTTGGTTTTATTGCTCTTGTGATTTTTTGTGTTTTTAGTTACGTTTTTATTGTAGTGGTTTCCTAATAGCATGTGCTACTGTAAATCGTTGCTCTATTATATAAATAAAAGTTATTTATTTAAAAAAATTTTCAAAAGCCCTTTCCCGTTTCCTGAAGCGTCCCTCAGTCCTTCTTAAAATTAAATAGCAATTGCACTCTCTTTCTTTTCCTTCGTTACTCCTTTGGAGCATTCGCAGTATCCTAGCACTAAACTATCATGAACCAGTGGACACGCCTAACGTTCTAGGAGAGGTGTCATAGAAAGTTTGGTACCTTTCTGAATTTGCAACTCGCACTGTCGATTCGCGTCGAGCACTTGCAGATCAGTCGAAGGCGTGTGGTGTATGCCCCAAGCGGCGCTGGCTTTTTAAAAAAGTGTTAAGGATGGGATTAAAAAGCAGGATTAATTAATCTCAAATCTTTCATCTGGAAGTTTTGCATTTTGATGGATTCGTTCTCCCAGTAGCTCATTGAGGCCTGAATCCACAGGAGGGACATAAACGGAGGGAGAATCACGTGCGCAAACAGCCGGAGAGAGCTTTCTAGCAAACAGAGCGACCGCCGCTGAACCGATAATCCATTTCTCAGTTTAAAAACCAGCTTATTTCTTCCACATTGCGATGAAAAGGGCAAACAAAGCTCTGGCTGTTTGTATGGTTTCCTGTCTGCAGGCATCCTGTTTCCTTTAGATCCTGGACTTAAACGTTTGAGGGCTTGTTTTTGTTTACTCTCTTTCCAAAACTTTGATATGGTTAATTGAATTTGCAAACTAATACATTGAAGTCTCTAACTTGCAGGCTGCTAAAGCATGTGTTTATTCGGAAGCAGATCTTGCCGGGCTCACGGGAAGGTAAATGCGCAGAGCCTCTAATCTCCTTCTTTTACCTCACAGGGTGTCTGTTGTGGGGAGGGGAAGGGAAAGGGTATAAATCCAATCTCTTCTTCTTCTTCTCACCAAACTGTTTTATCAGCTCCACTTAAAGGACAAGAGGAGGTTTGAAAAGGCCAACCGCGACGGAGCTTCCGGCCTGGACCTGAACGAATTCATTGCGTTCGAACATCCTGAGGAAGCGGAATATATGAAGGTACATCCGTGGCTGGCTTTAAAAATGTGCCCTGGGGGGTGGGGGTGGAAAGTGCTTTCAATTCACAGCTGACGTACGGTGACCCCGTAGGGATTTCAGGGCAGGAGAAGAGCAGAGGTAGTTTCCCCACGGCCTGCCTCCGCGTAGCAACCCTGGGCTTCCTCGGTGGTCTCCCATCCAAGTACAAACAAGGGCCCACCCTGCTCAGGGCCAACTGAGAGCCAGTTTGGTGTAGTGGTTGGGAGCGCGGACCCTAATCGGGGAGAACCGGGTTTGATTCCCCCACTCCTCCACATGCAGCTGCTGGTGTGACCTTGGGTCAGCCACAAGTTCTCTCAGAGCTGTTCTCTCCAGGGCAGTCCTCGAAAGAGCTCTCTCAGCCCCGCCTCCCTCACAGGGTGTCTGCTGTGGGGAGGGGAAGGGAAAGGGTATAAATCCAATCTCCTCTTCTTCCAGAGCCAGTTTGGTGTAGTGCCAGTTTGGTGTAGTGGTTAAGTGTGCGGACTCTAATCTGGGAGAACCGGGTTTGATTCCCCAACTCCTCCACTCGCACCTGCTGGATGACCTTGGGCAAGCCATCGTTCTGTCAGAGCTGTTCTTGAAAAAGAGCAGTTTCTGTCAGAGCTCTCTTGGCCCCACCTACCTCACAGCCTGTTTCCTCTAAGCTGAGTTAGTGTGAGCTAGCTCACAGTTTTTTAGCCTCCGGTTCACACATTTTCCTCTTAGCTCAGGAAGGACAACTCAAGAGCAAACTAATTTATGCAGCGACCAAATCGCTCGCTCACGACTTTAATACCAGTCGCTCACAAAGTAGAATTTTTGCTCACAAGACTCCACAGCTTAGAGGGAGCATTGGTCACAAGTTCTCTCAGAGCTGTCCTCTCAAGGGCAGTCCTTGAAAGAGCTCTCTCAGCTGCACCGACCTCACAGGGTGTCTGTTGTGGGGAGGGGAAGGGAAAGGAGTTTGTAAGCCGCTCTGAGACTCCTTTGGGTAGTGAAGGGCGGGGTATAAATCCAATCTCTTCTTCTTCTTTTACCTCACAGGGTGCCTGTTGTGGGGAGGGGAAGGGAAAGGAGTTTGTGAGCCGCTCTGAGATTCCTTTGGGTAGTGAAGGGCCGGGGTATAAATCCAATCTTCTTCTTCTTTGCTTTCTGAGATCTGACAAGATTGGGCTAGCCTAGGTCAGGGCAGAAACAGGGGTGGTTTGCCCTTGCCTGCCTCTGCGTAGCAACCCTGGACTTCCTTGGTGAACTCCCGCCCAGATATGAGCGTGGGCCACCCAGGTCAGGTCACCATGGTGATACTGGCTTTTTAAAAGTTCTGGGAAAACATTTTTGTGTGTGCGTGCATCGTCACAGGGAAGCATTTGGAACAATCCCTGCATGTTTTCCTCTGTGTAAAACTGCCTTTCCAGTACTGAAAAGCCGCCCGCGGGACCTGAGGTGCACAGACGTGGATTTTTCTTTTAAAGCCAAGTTTCCTTCCTCGTTTCTTTCCCCCCTCTGAAGGAGTTTGTTATCCATGAGGCTTTGGAAGATCACGATAAAGACGGCGATGGATTTGTGAACCTGGAGGAGTTCCTCGGGGACTACCGAAGAGATCCGGGTGAGGGGGCTTGAGCTGGAAATGGAATCTGCCCTTTTACATTGTGTTCTCCAAGTATGCCTGTTTTTCATTGTCCTTCATAGTTTATTAATATAAGTGGCTGTACTGTCATCAAGAACCTAAAGAGGTAAGTCAAACACAGTAGAGGGCCAACAATTACAACTTAAATACATATGTATTTATTAGCAAAGAATTAAAAAACATATAAGGGCCCAATTACACCTCATGCAAAAATACCTGAATCAGACCCTTCTTGGTCCATCAAAGTCAGCATTGTCTACTCAGACGGGCAACAGTGCTCCAGGGTCTCAGGCTGAGGTCTTTCACATCACCTACTGCCAGATCTTTTAACAGGAGATGTCAGGAATTAAACGTGGGACCTTCTGCATGCTAAACAGGTGCTCTGTTTGGTGTAGTGGTTAAGTGCGCGGACTCTAATCTGGGAGAACCGGGTTTGATTCCCCACTCCTCCACTTGCACCTTCTGATGTGCCCTTGGGTCAGTCACAAGCTCTGGCACAGCTGTCCTTGAAAAAGAGCAGTTTCTGTCAGAGTTCTCTCAGCCCCACCCACCTCACAGGGTGTCTGTTGTAGGGAGGGGAAGGGAAGGGAGTTTGTAAGCCGCTCTGAGACTACAAGTGAAGGGCGGGGTATAAATCCAATCTCCTCTTCTTCTTCTCTACCGCTGAGCCAGGGGCTCAGATCAATACATATGAACACACATAAAGATTTGGGGTCAGTTTGTGATGAACAAAATCTCTACTATAGTAGACCGATTACAAAACAGCTCCAATAAAAATTATGATAAATTTGTACGTACCTGGTATCCAGTACTCGACTTCATGACATAACACTACGTGCTGCCCTCTAGGACGAGCTATCACACATGGCTTCACTTTTGACTCCACTCCGACCTCCGCCCTGCTGCCGAGACTCCTCTTGTTGTTCAGAGTAGCAGACTCCCAAACTTGTGGTATTTTAAAGCTGACTCCATTCAGTGGGATCTATAGTTCAAACGTCATTTTTATATATGGGAACGGATCTGATACTAAATTATTATGTTATGTTATAACTGTTGATGTATGTTGAAAACTTTGTTGGTGATTAACTGGCTGGTTTGTAATTTTTGATTCTCAGGACTTTTGTATACTGTTTTGCAGTTATTGTACATGTTATAAGTTATACTTGATCTTAATAAGCATTTTAAAAACCAATAATAATAATAATAAAAATAAAGCTGCCTTGTACTGAATCCAGGTCAGTATTGTCTACTCAGACTGGCAGCGGCTCCCCAGGGTCTCAGGCTGAGGTCTTCTTCATCACCTACCACCTGGTCCTTTTAACTGGAGATGCTGGGGATTGAACTGGGGCCTTCTGCATGCCAAGCAGAGGCTCTAACACTGAGCCAGGGTCTCAGGTCAAGGTCTTTCCCATCACCAAGTTTCTGGTCCTTTTAACTGGAGATGCTGGGGATTGAACTGGGGCCTTCTGCATGCCAAGCAGATGCTCTACCACTGAGCCAGGGTCTCAGGTCAAGGTCTTTCCCATCACCTCCTGCCTGATCCTCTAATAGGCGCTCTTGGGGATTGAACCTGGGACCCTCTGCATGCCAAGCAGAGGCTCTAGCACTGAGCCAGGGTCTCAGGTCAAGGTCTTTCCCATCACCAATTGTGTGGTCCTTTTAACTGGAGATGCTGGGGATTGAACTGGGGACCTTCTGCATGCCAAGCAGAGGCTCCAGCACTGAGCCAGGGTCTCAGATCAAGGTCTTTCCCATCACCAATTGTCTGGTCCTTTTAACTGGAGATGCCGGGGATTGAACCGGGGACCTTCTGCATGCCAAGCAGATGTTCTGCTACTGAGCCACGGCCCCTCTCAAGCCCCTCTACACCGACCACATTTTTAGCTGCCTTTTGAAAGGGCCTGCTGTTAGCCCTGCTGTTAGAAGACGGGGACGGCAAAGGATGAGATGGTTAGACAGTGTCATAGATGCAACGAACATGAAATTGAGCAGGCTTCAGAGGACGGCGGAAGACAGGAAGGCCTGGCGTGATCTGGTCCATGGGGTCGCGAAGAGTCGGACTCGACTGTGCGACTGAACAACAACAAGCTGTTAGCGCACATGCACAGGCCGCAAGGGTGGCCGCTGCTACTATTCCTTTTATCTGGAGGTCACTCAGTGTTGGACAGGATTCCTCCACGGTTCTGACCAGTGTTCCCTCTAAGATGAGCTAGTGTGAGCTAGCTCACAGTTTTTTAGCATCCAGCTCACAGATTTTTGTCTTCACTCAGGAAGGATGGCTCCGGAGCAAACTAATTTAGCCAAATCGCTCGCTCACAACTTGAATGCCAGTAGCCCACAATGTTGAATTTTTGCTCACAAGGACTCCACAGCATAGAGGGAGGATTGATTCTGACTCTTTGCTTATTCCTTAAATTCCCCATCCTAATGCTCATTCCCGTATTTCCTCTGCCAAGCTTGCTGGGTCTGCTAGCCCTCCGTCCTGGCTTTGATACTGGTGAGGTTCTGACAGTAGCTCTTCCTGTCATGTGACTCTGATGTCACGTGCTTGTGGCTCAATAGGTCCTAGGTCTGGAAAGACCGCTGTGTTCTAGAAGAAGAAGAAGAAGAGAAGAGATTGGATTTATACCCCGCCCTTCACTACCCAAAGGTGTCTCAGAGCGGCTTACAAACTCCTTCCCCTTCCCCTCCCCACAACAGACACCCTGTGAGGTAGGTGGGGCTGAGAGAACTATTGACAGAAACTGCTCTTTTTCAAGAACAGCTGTGCCAGAGTTATGGCTTGCCCAAGGTCATCCAGCAGCTGCATGTGGAGGAGTGGGGAATCAGACCCGATTCTCCCAGATTTGAGTCCGCGCACTTAACCACTACACCAAACTGGCTCTCTAGGAGCATTTCCTTGCTTAGATACAAGCACGGCCTTGATGTGTTACTAAAAAATATATATTTTAGGTTAATTCAGTCCATATGTTTGAACTGTGCATGCTTTAACGCTTGTGTTTTGTACTGAAAATTAGTATCTTTATAGATTTCTTTAACGGTAAACTTAAACCGTACTAGAACAGCAGTCACGAAAACGAAGCCTTCATCGCCTGATACATTTGTTTCCCCAGCTGCTAGCGAAGATCCAGAGTGGATACTCGTCGAGAAGGATCGATTCAAGAACGACTACGACAAGGATCACGACGGGAGACTCGACCCCCAAGAGCTGCTGGGTTGGGTGGTGCCGAATAACGAGGGGATCGCTCAGGAGGAGGTAGGAACTTGGAAGGACCTGGTCCCGGTGGGACGGCTGGCTGCCGTAGTTTCCCTTCGGTCACACCGTGAAGGTCCTTATTTATTTATTATTCATTTTTCGAATCTACCCCGCCCTCCTGGCCGAAGCCGACTCAGGGTGGCTTACATAAAAACAGATAAGTTACATTAAAACATAAGTTACAATTAAAACAATTCTAAAACCATCATAGGAGCTGCGGTGGCTCAAGTGGTTAAGATGCTGAACAGCAGGCTGTGGAAGGTCGGTAGTTCAGCAGTTCGAGACCTGAGTGTGCCGCATGATGGAGTGAGCTCCCGTCTCTAGTTCCAGCTCCTGCCAACCTAGCAGTTCGAAAGCAAGAAATTGCAAGTAGATGGTAAGGTAACAGCGTTCCGTGCACCTTGGTGTTCGCTCATGCTGGCCACATGATCACGGAAACTACTTCGGACAGCGCTGGCTCTTCGGCTTTGAAACGGAGATAAGCACCGCAACCCTAGAGTCAGATTCGACTGGCTTTCGAGCAAGGGAACCTTTACCTTTACCTTAAAACCATCATAAAGTGCTAGTCGTCGTCGTTCGTATGACGGTAGCAGCCATTGTTCAGAGTTCTCAGCTCACAGTCAGCTCACAGTGATTGTCCTTGCAGTGGTGGCAATTTCCGGAATCCAGGGCCCTTGCCGTAGTTTCCCTTCGGTCACACCGTGAAGGTCCTTATTTATTTATTATTCATTTTTCGAATCTACCCCGCCCTCCTGGCCGAAGCCGACTCAGGGTGGCTTACATAAAAACAGATAAGTTACATTAAAACATAAGTTACAATTAAAACAATTCTAAAACCATCATAGGAGCTGCGGTGGCTCAAGTGGTTAAGATGCTGAACAGCAGGCTGTGGAAGGTCGGTAGTTCAGCAGTTCGAGACCTGAGTGTGCCGCATGATGGAGTGAGCTCCCGTCTCTAGTTCCAGCTCCTGCCAACCTAGCAGTTCGAAAGCAAGAAATTGCAAGTAGATGGTAAGGTAACAGCGTTCCGTGCACCTTGGTGTTCGGTCATGCTGGCCACATGATCACGGAAACTACTTCGGACAGCGCTGGCTCTTCGGCTTTGAAACGGAGATAAGCACCGCAACCCTAGAGTCAGATTCGACTGGCTTTCGAGCAAGGGAACCTTTACCTTTACCTTAAAACCGGAAGTGGCCAAAACTGGAAGTTCCGCCCCCGACACAGCCATTTGACAGCCAGTTTCACTTGGTGGTCACTTGGGGTGGGGGGAGCAAAACTGATCCCTGAAAAGGCTTGCAACCGGCTGCAAACCACTTCTCCGAACATCCTCTGTGCCCCAGTAGGGCCTTCACTTCCTTGATTGAGTCCATCCATCTCACGTTGGGCCTTCCTCTCTTCCTGCTGCCTTCCATTTTTCCTAGCCTGATTGTCTTTTCCAGTGACCAGGGGTCATTTCGTAGAAAAAGAGGTGCAGGAGCTCATTACCATAACTTATTAGCATAACTTATTTGCATACGCCACACCCCCTGACATCACCGGAAGTGTGTCAAAAGGCAACACCCACCGCTCAGGCTCCACTGGACTGTTTTGGATTGCTAGCTATTGGGGGTGGGGGGGAGGAACATGCAGATCTGTCCTCACAGAGGAGGGAGAACTTGTACCTGAACAAAACTTGGTCTTTAAAAAAACCCTTGGTCTTAAAGGTGCCACTGGACTGTTTTGGATTGCTAGCTATGGGGGGCGGAGCGCAGATCTGCCCTCACAGAGGAGGGAGAGCTTGTACCTGAAGGCGGGTGGGAGGGCTCTACAACTTACCTGGCTGCTTCTTACTCTGACTGAGGTCTGCTGGGAGCAGGGGGCGGGGCTTGTTGCATGTGCCCACCCCCTAGGCGCCTTACTGCCGGAGCTCCGCTCCTGTGCGCTCCCGCAGGAAATGACCCCTGCCAGTCGCCAATCAGAAGCCTTGCTGGGCAAAATCCTAATCTGGCCCCACCCACTTTCTAAAAACACTTTGTGGGCATCAGGAAAGGTATCGGATACAACATGGGGGACTCCCGGCATTGGGCATTTGTTGAGCACATGTGTCGTCCCGTGGGGATGGCTGTGCTTTCTTGATGATTATTTGACGGAAGATGAAGATCGCTCCCAATTGCCTTGTGCGTATTACCGTAAAAAAAAAAAGTCCCCCAGAAATCTGTAGGAAAAAGCAGAACTATGCCATCTGCGTGCTAAATCTTACACAGCTGTATGGTACAAAGAAGCAAGTTGTGCTTGCTTCTACAGGGAGTCGAATTCCTCTGCCTCGTGGTTTCCCCTGCTTGTATTTCCCCCCCGAAGCTCAGCCGGGAACCACAGGCTGCTGCCTTCAGGCCCCCTTAAGGAGTAATTCTGTAGAAATTGGTGGGTTTTCCAGAAGCGTTCTGAAGACGATTAGAATATTACATAATTACTAATTGGTCCTGGGTGGTCCTCCCAAATGTTAATTAACGAAAGAAGCAGCTTATTCTGCTGAAGAAGATTGAAGTAGTGAAGTTTTTAGAAAGACCATGGGGTGAAGATAGGGTCATGATTCTTAAGAACGTAAGAACAGCTCTGCTGGATCAGACCAATAGTCCATCTAGTCCAGCATCCTGCCCCACACAGGGGCCAACCAGTTCCTCTGGAGGGCCAGCAACAGTGCAGAGAGGCCAAGGCCTTCCTAAGAACATCAGAAGAGCCCTGCTGGATCAGACCAACGGTCCATACAGTCCAGCATTCTGTCTCACACAGTGGCCAACCAGTTCTGCTGGAGGGCCAGCAACAGGGCACAGAGGCCGAGGTCTTCATAAGAACATAAGAAGAGCCACAGTGGATCAGACTAGTGGTCCATCTAGTCCATCATCCTGTCTCACACAGTGGCCAACCAGTTTCTCTGGAGGGCCAACACCAGGGCAGACAGGCTGAAGCATTCCCCTGATGAGAACCTCAGAAGAGCCCTGCTGGATCAGACCAGGGGTCCATCTAGCCCAACATCCTGTCTCACACAGGGGCCAACCAGTTCCTCTAGAGGGCCAACAACAGGGCATAGAGGCTGAGGCCTTCATAAGAACATCAGAAGAGCCCTGCTGTATCAAACCAGTGGTCCATCTACTCCAGCATCGTATCTCACACAGTGGCCAGCCAGTTCTTCTGGAAGGCCAACAGCAGGACATAGAGGTCGAGGCCTTCCCCTGATGTTGCCTCAGCAGATTAATGCCTCTGAATGTGGTGGTTCCCCTCAGTCACCATGGCCAGCAGCCATTGATAGACTTCTCCTCCATGAATCTATCTAATCCCCTTTGAAAGCTGTTTATTCCTGTGGCCAACCAGTTCCTCTGGTCACCCAACAACAGACCATAGAGACCAAGGCTCTATGGTTCTGGGATTCCAAGCCTTAATGCCTCTGAATGTAAAAATTCCCCACAGGGGATTAGATCCTCCATGAATCAATCTATTTAACCCCGTTAAATCTATTTATCCCTGTGGCCATTAGTACATCCTCTGACAGCGAATTCCACATTTTAATCACTCTCTGTGTAAAGAGGTGTTTCCTTTTGTCCATCCTGGACCTACTGCCCGTTGACTCCATCGGATGTCCTCCAGTTTTAGTCTTTTGGGAGAGGGAGAAAAAGTTCTGCTTTCAGTCCTCTCCACCCCATGCATAATTTTATAAACCTCTCTCATGCCCTCACTGCCCTGTCGTTTCTTTTCTAAACTGCAAAGTCCCAGACGCTTCAGCCTTTCCTCCTAGGAAAGGTGCTCCAACACCCCGCCCCCCAGTCATCTTGCTTGACCTCCTCTGTACGTTTCCCAGCTCTGCAGTGTCATTTTTGAGATACGTTGACCAGAACTGGACACAGGCCCCGGTCACACGGAGATTTTGCTGCGCGAAAGGCACGAATGTCGGGCGGATTTTCGGGGCGCGATCACACCGCAACATCTGGGAAGCGTAGCGCACCCGGGGCGTCCCGCCGAAGATACGGAGTTAAAAACTACCAAGGAAAGGGCACTAGTATCTGGAAAACGCGCGGCACAGGCGGGCGTCTGATCGCGGGAGCACTAGTATCCCGTGGCATCCGGCACGCGTGCATATCCCGTCGTAAACCAGACGTTTTTCGTAAGCGCATGCGCACAAACACGAAACCGAAAGCAGTGCTGCTCTGCGGAACTGCGCACACGCACAAACGCGAAACGCTTGTGTGATCGCGCCATGCCGCTTCTTTGCCACGCTGCAGCATCGTCGTGTGATCGCCAGCTAACAGCCGAAGCATGGAGACTTGGGGGACCGTGTGATCAGGCTACCATGCTTTATTTTGCTCTGGGGCGAACAGCCACACCTCCCCCCTCCCGCGTTATCTGGCCCGTGTGACCGGGGCCACAGTATTCCAAATGAGGCCGCACCATAGGTCTCTTCAGGGGCATTACAATATCAGCCATTTTATTCTCAGTCCTTTTCCTAATAACCCCTAACAATGAGTTTGCCTTTTCCGAGTACCGTTATTTGTTTATTCTGCCGCTGTCAAGTGGCAGCCAATTTACGGTGACCTGGCAGGGTTTGCAAAGCAAGAGACATTCAGAGGTGTCTTACCGTTGCCTTCATCTGTGTGGGGGACCTTGGTGGTCTCCCACCTAAATACTAACTGGGGCCCACCCTGCTTAGCTTCTGAGATCTGATGAGGTCGGGCTAACCTGGGCTATCTAGGTTGGGGCATATTTACTTACATGAAAGTACATTCCATTGGAATAATTTTGGTGTAGCGGTTAAGTACGCGGACTCTAATCTGGGAGAACCGGGTTTGATTCCCCACTCCTCCACTTGCAGCTGCTGGATGACCTTGGGCAAGCCATAGTTCTGACAAGAGCTGTTCTTGAGAAAGAGCAGTTTCTGTCAAGAACTCTCTCAGCCCCACCTACCTCACAGGGTGTCTGTGGTGGGGAGGAGAAGGGGAAGGAGTTTGTAAGCCGCTCTGAGACTCCTTCGGGTAGTGACGGGCGGGGTATAAATCCAATCGTTTCTTCTTCTTTTACCTCACAGGGCGTCTGTTGTGGAGAGGGGAAGGGAAAGGAGATTGTGAGCCACTCTGAGACTCCTTTGGGCAGTGAAGGGCGGGGTATAAATCCAATCGTTTCTTCTTCTTTTACCTCACAGGGCGTCTGTTGTGGAGAGGGGAAGGGAAAGGAGATTGTGAGCCACTCTGAGACTCCTTTGGGCAGTGAAGGGCGGGGTATAAATCCAATCGTTTCTTCTTCTTTTACCTCACAGGGCGTCTGTTGTGGAGAGGGGAAGGGAAAGGAGATTGTGAGCCACTCTGAGACTCCTTTGGGCAGTGAAGGGCGGGGTATAAATCCAATCTCTTCTGGTTTCTTTGTTCCGAAAGGCCGTCCACCTTATCGAAGAAATGGACTCCGATGGCAACAAAAAGCTTTCCGAAGCCGAGATTCTTGGGAACCAGGATTTGTTTCTCAACAGCGAAGCCACCGATTATGGCAGGCAGCTCCACGATGAACGTTTCTACCACGAGGAACTTTAATTTCCAAGCGACTGACCTTTGTCTGTTCTTCTTCGTTCCGGAACTGGTTTCAAGCTTTGAAGGCAAAAAATGAAATTTTAAAAAAAGCAGATTTTTCTGTGGCTGTAATATACAGGCGTCAGCAGCTATATCTTTGCATTCTCAAGCGTTCTTTTCACCTGTGCATTGCTTTGAATGTCTTTGGCCTTTCAGCACTTGGTTGCCACAGAATTAGCTTTAAAAAGAAATGACAGGGAGAACTTCTCAAGCCTTCTTTGTTTTAGTGCTACTTTTTGAAACGTACTTGAAAATGCAAAGATTTGACATTATGGTGAGGCAGAGGATTACCATTAGTTTCTGATAGGTTGTTTCTTAGCGTTTTGGAAAGAGGGAAAAATAAAACAGAGGAAATAGTTCGGTTTGGGTTCCGCATTCTAATCATCCTTCAGTAGGACTGTTTGGCAGGGTTAACAAGCCTTATTTACCTCTAAGGCTTCTGTGTATATTAAATAACTTCTCTAGAGGGTGTTTATAAGATCTGGGAATCTTATTTTTGCATCTAGACTAGTGATTATTTTTATTGTAATTGAGATAGCGTTAGAGAATGTAACGTATTTAAGTGAAAACGTTTACTGTCAAATTAAAGCATTGAAATGCCCTGTTTGTTTGTATGTTTCTCTTTCTTGGTATGAATCTATTAAACCTAGATTTTTTTAAAAAAGATGTATTTAAATGATGGAATATTCCTGGATGGAACCAGTTTTTCCCTCAAAGGGTTTTGTGTGCAGATGGAGGAGGAGATTGGATTTATACCCCGCCCTTCACTACCTGAAGGAGTCCCAGAGCGGCTTACAATTTCCTTTCCCACCCCGCAACAGACCCCCTGTGAGGTAGGTGGGGTTGAGAGAGCTCTTTCAAGGACTACTCGTGAGAGAACAGCTTTGAAAGGGAGCGGTGGTGCAGGCGGTAAAACGCCTGCCTTAACAACAACACTCGAGCAGCCACTATGGCTGTTCGAGAACCACCGCGGTCGGGGTGAGCTCCCGACCTTGTCCCAGGCTCCCGCCCACCCAGTGGCTCGAAAGCAAGTAAATAATGCGAGTAGACAAATGGGTACCTACCCTTAGAAGGGTAGGGGGCACCCTCCACTGGTGAGGTGTGTGGTGAAGGCACCAGCGACGGCGGCGAGACATCGGCTGCAGCAGGGTACCGGCAGTGGAGACGGTGTGGTGGCACGGCGGCAGCAGCGGCAGGAGCGATCCCTGGTGGCCAGCAGCAGAACACCGTGCGGCTGTCATCAGCGGAGGTGGAGACTGAGAGGCGCACGATGACGTCGAAGGCGGGCGCGGCAGAGCCTGAAGGACGCAGCCGAGGCCGGAGGTAGACGTGGATCGTGTGCCGAACGGTCCCACCGGAAAGGAAGCTAACCCGCCTTGAGCACCAGATGAACATCCCACCCCGAAGACTGCCTGGGAAGAAACTGGAAAAAGCCGAGCCGGAGAAACAACGACCACCACCTGGGTGCCGGTAGGCAGCCCCGTCCCTGCACAATGTGGCCCTAGTTAGGGAGATATGTTCTTAGAACCTTCTATGTAAACTGCCCAGAGACCCCCAAGGGGGTTAGGGTGGTATAAGAAATCGAATATATAAATAAATAAATAAATAAAGAACTTGTGACTGACCCAAGGTCACACCAGCAGACACCCTGTGAGGTAAGTGGGGCTGAGAGAGCTCTTCCGACAACTGCTCCTGAAAACAGCTGTACCAGAACCATGGCTTGCCCAAGGTTATCCAGCAGGTGCAAGTGGAGGAGTGGAGAATCAAACCTGGTTCTACCAGATTAGAGTCTGCGCACGTAACCACTACACCAAACTGACTCTCAAGAACATAAGGGAAGCCATTTTAGATCAGGCCAATGGCCCATCCATTCCAATACTGTGTCATGCAGTGCCAAAACGTAGGTGCCATCAGAAGGTCCACCAGTGGGGCCAGAGATCCCCAGCATTTTCAGTTAAAACGGTGGGTCTCATCTGGTGGTAGACTGGCCACCGGTGCGGTACAGTAGTCATCTAGGTGAGATGCAGAGTTTTCATAACCGTTACTTTGCTCTCGCCTCACTCCCCATGTCTGGCTGACCCTACCTGCCACGGGTTATTCAGAATGGTGGGATCCAGCGTGGTGTAGTGGTTAAGAGCGGCAGACTCTAATCCAGAGAACTGGGCTTGATTCCCCACTCCACCTGAAGCCTGCTGAGTGACCTTGGGCCAGTCACCCTTCTCTCCAAACTCAGCCACACCTACCTCACAAGGTGCCTGTTGTGGGGAGAGGAAAGGAAGGGAAATACTGTTTCACACAGAGAGTGATTAAAATGTGGAA